TTATTTTCTTTTCTGCAGTCCCTTTACTGTTCAGAATATATGTATTTTTTATTTACTTCAGTAAAATTATTAACAGTCCTGTTAAACATCAGTATGACTGGCAATAAAAAGAAAGAAAAGGAACAAACTAAGTCGAAGAAAAAGAAATCAAAACATCACCAATTTCGATACAAGTACGACCAGAAGAATGTTATTAACGGTCTCAAAGCTTTGGAGAGGGGAGTGTCGAGTAGAGAAGCTGCAGCACAATTCGGTATCCCAAGGAGTACTTTGTATAAAAAGTTCACCAAGGCACGTCCTGTTGAAGCTCGGAAAGGACCAGCAACTATTCTCACGACAGAAGAAGAGGATTTATTATGCCAGTGGGTTCTGTTTTGCTCTGAGAGTGGATATCCTGTAACCAAGGCAATGTTGTTGACATCAGTGCAAAAATTAGTAAAAGAGTTGGACAGAAAAACTCCGTTTAAAAACAACAAGCCTGGTCGTCATTGGTATGACGGATTCTGCCGACGTCACCCACAAATAACGACAAGAGTCTCTCAGAATCTTGTCACGTCAAGGGCTGATGTTAGTGTTGAGGCACTTGAAAAATGGTTTGCGGACGTAAAAGAGTATCTTTTGTCAATCGATATGTTCAATCAACATCCATCGCGTTACTTCAACTTAGACGAAAGCGCATTCTTCCTAGTTCCTCGTGGTGACCTTGTATTAGCTCGAAGAGGAGCGCAGACTGTGTACAAAGTTGTCAACGGAGACGAGAAAGAGAACCTGACGACTTTGTTCACCATCAGTGGAGATGGACGATTGCTTCCACCCATGGTTCTTTATTGGTACCAGAGGATACCTGAAAGAATCATGGAACGCTTACCTCCTGACTGGATCGTAGGAACCACTGATAGTGGGTGGATGACAGAGTCCATGTTCTTCAAATATGTGACTCAAAAGTTTTATCCATGGTTACTTGAGAATTTGATAGAATTTCCAGTGGTATTATTTATTGACGGTCATGCCTCACACATCAGTGTGCGCTTGGCAGAATTTTGTAAACAGTATAAAATTGAGTTAGTAGCACTATACCCGAATGCCACACACATTTTGCAACCCCTCGATGTTGCAGTTTTTCATCCATTGAAAACTTAAATGGAAACTCATGGTTGACGAGTGGAGGATGCAAAATGACAATGCAAAACTAAAAAAAGAGTACTTTGCAGAGCTGTTGAAAAGAGCAATTGATTCAATGGACAATCTCTCGCACATAATCAAGAATGGCTTCAGGACGTGTGGTCTCTTTCCATTTAGAGCCGAAAATGTTCAAATGGACATGCTAAGAAAAAAAAATAAGAAACAGCGAGAAGAGGCCGAGTCTCAAAAAGATAATAAAATCCTCCCTGCTAACCGAACCTTCACTGAGAAACATGAGCAAAAAACTCCTGTTGAAGAAATTGAAACTACTGAGGCATGTGTATACTCTGAAACACCACTGAACCATTTGCTGAAATATCTGAGTCCCGAAGAACTTCAAGATTTTCAAAACGCTGTTGACAACAAGAGTTACAAACCATCTAGATATGATAATGATGGGCTTTTTAAGTATTGGTTAACTGTTTCAAGAGTCGCTGGTACATTACATCAGAAATTGTAGTAATTTTATTTAAAAAGTTATAGTAATATTTATAAAAGTCGAATAAAAAAATATTATTTGAGTCTTGTAACTATTACTATAATAAAACATTAGACTATTAAAGATGATACTGTATCAGCAATTTTCATTTTTCTTGTAGATCAAAGAAACAGTTTACAAACAGAAAATAGTTCTCAGGATAGGTTCGAGTGGCCAGAGGTAGAAGAACCTCAGTTTGAGTCTGACAGAATGTCGTTTGAATTGAAGAAAATAGACGTCAGCAATGAACTTGAGACCACGGAGTGTCC